GGCCCTCGTCGAGAAAAAACGACTCGACTGTGTTGAGAAAACTAGGAGTTCCGAATCGATGAGTGTCTTTTGGCTGGCGCCGCAATACGTGATAATTGCAATCGGGGACACGTTCACGCTCATCGGACTTCAGGAGTATTTTTATGATCAAGTCCCTGACTCGATGCGGAGCTTGGGTATCGCGTTCTATCTTAGCGTGCTTGGAGCCTCGAGCTTCGCGAGTGGCCTATTGATAACGTTGGTCGACCGTGTGACAGGAAGTTGGGGAACGAGTTGGTTCGGTAAGGATCTGAATCATAGCCGGCTCGACTACTTTTACTGGTTTTTGTGTGGGATCACGAGTTTGAATTTGTGTGTCTACGCGTATATCGCGAGGAAGTACACATACAAGAACGTGAGGCGGTCGACAGTGGCTGTGGCCGATTGTAACGGTGTGGGGATGGTGGTGGTTTGAAATTTAGAGTATCTCTAATGAAACATTGTGCATTTTGCGTTGAATGTCAAAAATTTTACTGTAATAACTCATTTTGTCTAAGCTAAAACATAACTAAATTTTACATATGATTGTGGTCCTCAATGATATTTTTACAGGACTCAGATGATATTTGTGTTTGTGGTAAATACTAATAGTAAATAGTTACTTACTAGTACAAGTACAACACTCCGTATTACACGGGTACTTGTTAAAAAAATCTTCTTAAATTTCAAAATTAAAGATAAAAATTATTTTAAGATATATTTACTTTTTAACTATAGCTATGCAAAACAAATGAGCAATCTCTATTTTTTTTTTCAACCATAATTGCACAGACAACCAAAAAACTGACCCACTGAATGCACTTAATAAGCAACAAAACTACAACTAAAGGAGACAAACACACAAAATACAGTTAATAATCAACACAATGAGCGCTTGGATAAGATGGCTTGAGTCTCTTCCAGCTTAACCAGTGGTCTCGTATTCGAGCCCTTGGAATGCAGCAGTGTTAAAATTCTTGAGGGAGAGCTTTGCCGCTCTTGTGGTCCTACCCGGCTCGATTCCGGATTAGTCAGTTCCCCTGTGGATCCGGAAACCGGAAGATCCCTG